TCAGCAATGGCAAGTTGCTAAACAACTCAGTGAGACCCTGTCTCTAAATAAAATACAAAATAGGGCTGAGGATTTGGCTCAGTGGTTGAATTCAATCTCTGGTACTACCAAAAAAAAAAAAAAAAAAAAAAGGACAAATACTATATGATTCCACTTACATTAGGCACCAAACCAGCAAAAATCAGAAACCCAGAAAGGAAAATGGTGGTTGGGACTGAGGAGAGAAGGAATAGAGTGATTGTTTAACAGGGCAGAGTTTCAGTTTTATAAGATGAAGAGTTATGCAGATGGATGGTGGTGATGACTGCACACATTATGAATGTAGTTAATACCCCTGTCCACTTAAAAATGTTTAAAATGGTAAATTATATGTTATGTGTATTTCGCTACAATAAAAAAATTGGAAAAAGAAATCTCTGTAAAATCCAGGCCAAAAAAAAAAATATTTAGACTATTTTATGATACACCAAATGAACTCCAAATGGACTAAATATATGCCAGTTTTTTTTTTTTTATCTCATAGAAAAATTAGGAATAGAAGTGGATACTTACCAAAGTTCTTGAACTCTGAAGCAGTAGAAGAAAACTGGAAGGAATTTTTATGACCGCATTAAAAAAATATGTGACAAAATATTTGTAACAAATAAGAAAGGCAAAAAGCTAATAATATCCTTATTATATAGAGTTAACATCTGCTACAGGAATGAAATGGAATTGTATCGAGAATGTAGGAACAGATTCAAGTAGGTATGAGAATTTAGTACATGATAATGATGGCATTTTAAATCTGTGTGTAAAAATAGAACGTTCAATATGTTTTAGAATAGTTGGCCCAAACGTTTGAGATGAAAAGCTAAAGCTCTGCCTTACTCCTTAACCCAAAATGAATTCAGATGGATAAAATATTTAAATTGGAGTTCCTTGAGAAGCAGAATTATGCTGTTGGTAAGAGCACAGGCTCTCAGCTAGACAGTCTAGCCTGGGGGCTTGCATCTCATTTTTGTCCATCACTAACTGTGTGACCCTGAGTGACTGACTTAACCACTTGGTGCCTCAATTTCATAAAATAGTGTCTGCTCCACAGAATTGTAGATAAGATTAAATGAGTTAATACAAGTGCTATTTAAATGTAGCTGCTTTTGTCGTCATCATCACAGAAAAGGTGAAACCATAAAAACACTAAAAGGAAAGTATAATAAATATTTTTATCAGCTTTAGGGTAGAGGAAATATGTTTTATCAGGACACAAAAGCCATACTTCAATAATGAAGAGAATCAAGAGATTTGATATTTAAAACTTGTACACATGGAGAAATAATGACTTATGATAATGACCGGTGAGTAAGATACTGGGGATCACCAGCCATAGAAAAGATAGGCTGTGGCAGTGACATTTATTTTATTGTTTCCTGACCTGGAGCCGAAAGATGATTACTGTAAGTCAGCTGAATGTCTTGGAAAGTCTTAATTTCAATGTTTTTAATGTTTTCTTGGTCTTTTTACTTAAAACTGCTGTATAGGTTTCTGAGGGCTGCTGTAATAAATTGTCTCCCAACGACAAAAGTTTATTCTCTTCATTCAGTTCTGAAGGCCAAAAATCTGTATCAAAGTGTGGACTTGCCTATTTCTCTGAAGAAATAGAGAAATAGTTCACCTAATTCTGTATGACCTCATCTTAACGAATTATATCTGAGAGACCCTATTTTCAAATAAAGCCACATTCTGAGGTTCTGACTGGACACAAATTTCGGGGGACACTATTCACCCCACTACAACTTTCATGATCCCTTTCAAGGAGAAAACAGCTGTAGACATGGCTTAGAGGAGAGTGTAGTTGATAAAGGCAGGGAAATGGATCCAGCACCTTCTAGGAGCTGCCTTGGCCGCAGAAGTGTCCCCAGGCAAGGCCACAGAGCCTCAACTAACCAGCTAAGGTCTTGATTTTAGCAGACTATGTCAGAAGTTTAGACCTCTCAGAGTGACAAGAGCGATATTAAGAATAGGGAGGAAGCTGACAGAAAGCTAGTGGAGCTTTTCTAAGACATTCACTTATTCACATGCAGGATTCACTGGGAGACAAGACTGGAATCCCAGACCATGCTCGACGAATTAGGATATGAAGGGCCTGCTCGTAGGTTTTAGGAGATTGTGAAATTACCTGAAATACCATGAAAAAAATTTGTGTATATAGATCAGATAAAAAGTCAACTGGGCCTTTCCTTATATTTACCATGGATTAAAATTTACTTCTGTAAATTGTTATAGTACAAATGGGAAAAATGTCATTGAATACATTTATCTTTTGTGCTAACCTTTTAAAGTTATCAGTGTTTTCAAACTGCATATAAGTAATTTAGCCACAAAAACCTCACTCTGGCCTGTGTCTCTGCTGCTTCTTGCCACAGTCTCCAGCTCCTCTCCTTGCATCCTCTTTGGAGACTTTACTGCCACCAATCTACTGCAAGTGCAGTAGTCAAGATCTCTGTTACCAGGCCCAGAGCACAGTTGTTGGTCCTCAGGTTACTCAGTCTGACAGCCTAATTAAGCATCCCTGATCTCTCCTTTCTAGAATACTTTCTCACTTGGCTTTCAGAATTTCTCACTTCCTGCCCCACCAGGTGCTGCTTCCTAACCTCCTTTGCAACTCTTCTCATCTGCCCGTCTTGAGAGTGAGCTTAACCCTCACACTCTTTCCTTCCCATGGATGAGGTGGCCCAGGGGATCTCACCATTCCTTTGGCTTTGATTCATCCTTCCTAAGGATACATATTTTGAAAACAAGTTAAAAATCTTCCTCCACCTGACCTACCAACAACAACAATCTTTTTCCCTCTCAAATTGCTAGCATTGCAGCTTTCCATTTTCAGTGTAAGAAAAGCAAAAGCTTTCTCTCTACCATCGTCCCCTCAAGTAGGAGAAAGTAAGGGGATGGGGTATTGAGTCAACCGTGAGATCCCAGAAGTAGCAAAGTAGTTCACTAATTTAGTGTGTTTCATTTTTACCTATTAATAACTATTTTAATAGATCATCCCTTTTAAAACATCTTAGTTCATGAAATGCTTGTAGAATAGAGCTGGGAATGTAGCCCAGTGGTAGAGTGTTTGCTAGCAGGTGCAAGGCCCCTGTGTTCAAACCTCAGAACCACCAAAAAAAAAAAAAAGAGGAAAAAGAAAGAATGATTACTTGAAACAAGTAGTGCATATTCATATTGTTCCCTCTGCATTGATACTTTCAGATTTAAAATCCACAAATGGGCTTATAATATGAATTTCATTACTTTTAGGCTTAAAACTACACATGTGTAATTGCAATGTGAATTTACAGGCAGAGACAATATACTTTGTTCAAAGAAGAGAAAAAAAGCACAACTGAATGTTCTCCTGTCCTGTCCACTTTTATTGCTATATGTAACAAGGACCACAAGTCTTAGCTTACATTCCTAAAAGCAATTATATTCATTCTAGAGGAGCCTCAATAATTCCTCATCCACATTTCATGCATGGATCAGAATGTTCTCTGAGGAGACAGAGCAGGATGTCAGTTTGATTGCATTTCTCTTAGTAACACTTTCTGCAAGTGTTGCATTTCCTTCAGCCTTTCAGACACAAGTGTTTATTCAGTGCTTTGTGCTGGGCACTATGGTATAGACACTGGTGATACAAGGTGATGAAGTATAGTCATCTCCCTGAAGTTCATGGAAAGAAGGAAGATGTGGGCACCTGTCTCTTGGGCTTTGCTCCTCCAAGTGTGGTCTGCAGGCCATCAACATCAGCATCACCTGGGAACTTGTTAGAAATGTAGGATTTTGGTCCAGAATGGGTCAGCATCTTCATTTAGGGTTCTGAATTTCTGACAGGCTCCCACGTGCTGGCAGTTCATGGAGGGCACTGAGCAGAATGGTTTTAGAGTATTTCAAACTTGCTCTTTAGATGGGTCCAGGTGTCTTCATTGTTCCCTATCAAGGAGTAAAAGATTAAGGATGTACTTTCTATGTCTCCAAGCAGCCACCCTGAGATCAAAACACCTGGAATAAAAAGTATAAAGACTAACCAAGTATTATGTATAAAAGCACAAGGACTAGCCAAGAACAGGATAACCAAGAAGTTGCTAAATGGTGAGCTGACATGGGGTAGTTAACGGGAAAACAGATATTTTCTGAGCACCTATTGCAAATGCAGTAGCAATTTATCATTCAGTAATGAGGAAGAACCAGGACCCATTTATTATTTTTAAAATATTTTTAGTTATAGATGGACACAAAACTTTTATTTTATTTCTTTATGTGGTGCTGAGAATCAAACCCAGTGCCTCACATGTGCTAGGCACGCTTTCTATCACTAAGCTATAACCCCAGCCCCAGGACCCCTTTAAAAAGAGTCAGAATGTTTTCATAGCAGTCCAGGGGGAAATAAAAGAGGCCTAAACTAAGGAGAGTTTAGGATTCATAGGGAATGTTGAATGTTGAATCAGTTAGATGTGCCAAAAATGGTAGAAAAGAGAATCTAGGTTGCTGCTGCAAGTTCCTGGCTCTGGGAACTATGTGGATACAAGCTCAGAGAGACTAGAGGAGGGAGGCGGCTGCAGGGTGTGATTCACTCTTGGGTAAATAGGTGTGAGATGACATCAGACCTGCCAGTAGGCACTGAGGTGACAGTCACAGACCTCTGGAGAGAAGCCTGGCTGAAGCTGTAGGGACACAATCAGAATAGAATTGATGACACATTTGAAGCCACGGGTATGAAACAGTAATCCAAGTGAGAAGAGTTAAGAGCCCTCCAAGGAGCCTGAGAAGGGACATCCAGAGAGACGGTCAGCAAGTGGTTCTATAGAGTGATTCAGGATGGCTTGACTTTATGTTTTAAAAATGTATCAGTGATGTCCTAATTGGCCTCATGTGGTTATTCATCATCATTGTCTTTGTTGACAGGTGACGATAGCTCTTTATTTTTTGTTGCTGTTTTATGGTTTCTAGCTCACTAGTTTTTCTGTGCATATTTTAAGGTCCTTAAAATTCTGGTCAGGGCAGTGGTTGATGGGATGACTGATCGCAGTGGAGGTGTCGCCACCAGCCTCAAAGGGAAGCTGCAGGAGTTATTTGGCAGAGTAACTTCAAGAGTCACCAATGATGGCGAAATCTGGAGGCTGTATGCCCAAGTGTGTGGAAATGGGCAGAGTGAAAAGCCTGATGAGAATGAAAAGGTAAGGCCTCCCTCGGTCCTCCTGGCCCGAGCCTTTTGTTCAGCATGTGTGCAGTAGACCTGCTTTTTTGAGGGGTGGAAGAAGAGTTTAATAATCTTAAAGATACAATCAATATGCTCAGATCAGTTTTGATTTAGTCTTTAACATAAGCACTTTGAATTGTGTGCAGGTTAGGACTTGTAACAGTCATCTTTTGACTTTTCATGAAGTTTTCTGATGTAACTTCTGTTACCTGCAAAAAGGGTCTCTAACCTGCTACCCCTGTTGGATCTGCAGAAAACAGCTGGCTCTTGTTCCTTGTTCTGCACCCCTTTAACAGGCTCATTGCTAAAGACTTAGGCAGACTGGAACAAGGACAGAAAGACTGTTGAGATCTGAGGCAGGAACTATAAAGGGGGAAAAATAAGGGACTAGATAAGTAGATTGAAGAAGAACTTATAAAGTCTAAACATAATGCTTTGTAAAGGTTGTCTTGGCCCTTTCTCACAAGGGCAATAGAAGGCCAGTTGTACTGTGAGCTTCTTATCTCTGAACCTAAAGGAGCTCCCAGTTTCCAAGGTTGGAATATTTGTTTTGTGTTTCTTTTCAAAACATCCACAACAAATCAAATGTACTCGTTGCGTGGGTTTGGAATTAGCCACGGTACAGCTGATCTATGGGATTCTAAGCCAATTCTCTCCTCCCTTAGTGCATGTAGCTGGCTTCTACCATCGCCCTGTCAACCTGGAGAAAACATCCCATGCATGCATGCACACACTCCTACTTTCTGTCCTTCCATTTCTTCTTGAATTATGTACTCTCTTGGAATTAAGGGTCTGAATTCTCTGATCTATGACTTCTGCCTTGAGTTGGCAAGAAAATGAAAGAGAGTGTCTTAAGCTTAAGTGAGATCACATACCTACCAGCAGCTCCATAGTTTTCACCACGTTCACTCCTCATTCTCTGAATGGGTTTCTTAAGCTGAGAGTTATAAGTGATGAAGAAATCTGTACACTGCTTACACCTTTATATTTTTTGGTTACAGGGAATCAAAAAACATAGACATCTAGATGCAGCCATTGATTTCTTGTAATTGTTTATTGCTGTTGGGTGTGCATTGTTGCCCCGTCTTTAAGAATAATAAAGACTGTACTATACAGTGCAGATGCTGGTTTTTCAAGTTTGGAATTAGTTCCATATGACTTCCAGGAAACAATTTGAAATGTGAATTCTACTTATTAGTCTAAATATTGTTCTTTCTTTTTCCTTAGGCATTCCAGTGTCTCTCGAAGGCATACAAGTGTGACACACAGTCCAGTTGTTGGGAGAAAGATATTACATCATTTAAGGAAGTTGTTCAAAGAGCCTTAGGACTTGCACATGGTATTTGATTTCCATAGCCTATTTTAATGTATTTTTTACTGATTAAAAAAAAGGTGATAGTTAAAAAGCAAAGTTCCATTGTAAGTAATCTTAGATGATTTCATTATATTAAAATTTATTCTTAATTCAGAAAACATAGACCAACTACTCTGAAGTAGGTACTCTGGAGCAATTAGAAGAAACAGGATAGAGGCTTAAGTACAAAAATATTGTTTGAATAAATGGTAGGAATTAGAAACTTTTGTGGAGATGCAAAATACCTTTTCAGCTATAAATAACCTTCACTCCACACAGTCTGTATTGATTATGTAGTACTAAGGAAATCTGTTAACTTTTTCTTGACTCATATTCTTCATTTAGAAATAAAAATATTTATTCATAAAAATATGTAGATCTCTGGAGTACTTAGCAATATACAAAGAGCTAAAAAGAAATATAAAATACAATCCAGTCCCTATCTTTAGGAAATTTAGAGAGTATAATTTGAAGGGTGGCTGGCCTCACAAAAAAGTGTTTGCCTAATAGTTTAGTTAAAGACCACTTTTAATTATTTGCATTAATGAAAAAAATACCAGGTAAATGTAGTAATTCATTTTTATGTTTACATTTGAATATTAGTGTGTGATGCTCAGGTTCCAATGAAATAGCAAAATCCCATTGTTAGGAACTAAAAGAAAAGGACATGAACCTATCCTAAAGTCTTCCTACTTCTCTGCTTTAACTTCTTCTTGTCACTAATAGTGACAGCAAATAGAGAGCCACCAAGGCACAATGAAAAGGGCAGAGCTTCACAATCTGGAAGACCAAAGCTCCAGGACCACTCTGCTATGTGCTTGCTAGGTGACTTCAGTGACTTAACTTCTCTGAACCTTAGTTTATTGCAGGTAAAATCGGGATAATAACTCTCTATGGTTGTTAGGAGGAATAAATGAAATCATTTAAACATTTAGCATTATTTTATACATGATTTGAATGTTAATCCCTTATCCTCCCACCCCTACCCACCCTGATTCTTCTGAAGTGAAGGATCTTGGGTTATATGATAAGGGCTCAAAACTAAAAAGAGAAAAATGGAGAACAAGGATAAAATTTAACTTGTCTATAAAAAAGTCCCAGAACACTCAAACAGTTTAGAAATGGGCTTGGTAGTTAATAATTCTTCTGTGGCCTCTCATATCTTTGACTAAAAGGATATAAATTCCAATTTCCTGGACCATTAGCTATTGGCAGATAAGGTAAAAGTGTTGAACTCTGTACAGCTGAAATTCTGTATAGAGAATTTGGAGGCTGTTGTAGTAGATCAGTGGAAGCACACTTTAGGGTGACTAGAGTTCATGTGACTTGTGCTGGCCTTATGGTGGCAGGGCTTAGAGGGTTCATGCCTTTTGCCTTTGGCATTTGTAGATACAGGGTTATGTTTGGGGAAACCCACACTAAGGTGTATTATGCACGTAATTAGTAGGGTGGGATTTACTTTGAAGAACTTATCTACTTAAACTTGCCATATCTAAACATTCTGTGAACTACTAGTTCTGTAAAAATCAAAGTCAAGATATTGTCTGTAATCACCAAGTGCTGGTATTAAACTTGTCAACTTACAAATATGCAAGTAAAAGCAATACTGCAGGGGGAAAAAAATCTTCATTTTGCAGCTTAAAGTTGGTTTTGAACTTACGGCACCATTTTTCCATTAGGACAGACTTGAGAAAAACAAGTGTGTATTCTCTGAAGTTCTCCTTGGACTTTAATGGATTGTGGGTTGGTGCTCCTACATTTTAAGTATATTTGAATGGAAGCTCACCTTTAGTTTCTAATGTACTTTAGGTTATAAAGATAAATCTTAACCTTGTGTTTTTTGCATTTGTGCACCAGTGTTCAAAGAAGGAGCTAGATTTCTGTTTTCTTTTTTGTCTTTCTCTCCACCCCACCCATGGTAAAAAGGAAATATAGCATTTAAAAAATCTTTGCTCCCTGTTGGGTTGCTGTTGGTCAGAGTCCCCGTGAACGTTACAGCTTGAGTAAACATTGCAGTCTTGATGTGGCATTTGAGACCCATGTGTAACAGCACTGTCATTGTGTGTCCATTTGCATTGTCTGGGGATATTCATTTACAGTTTTTGTGATGCTGTTTTCTGGGAAAGGGTCGGCAAAAGCTCCTTTGTTCTTTGTCATCCTGGAACTTTCACAATAATAAATAATAGTTATGCTCTTTCTTTGCTTTTGGGTTTTTTTTAGGGGGTGGGGTGGGGCAGGGATATGTTTATGCTTTTTAACTGTCTTCAGTCATGAGGTACTTCTCATTTGGATTTTCTGATACTTTGAAACAGCAGGTTATTTCTTTCCTTCTCCTTCTCCCTTGCCCTAGCTCTATCTCTATCTTTAATGCCTTTTGGAAATAGGATTGAGAAGGGAACTAATAGAGTGTGTGTTTGTCTTTTTGCTCTTTCTCATAATGAAAATAAAAAATTAAAGAAATTTAGTTGTGTCTGATACAAGCTATTAAGTGTTAAGCGGCCCACATACCTCTACCATGGTAGTTACAACTTTCTCTATTAAAAGAAACAGACATAACTTTTTTTTTAAGAGAGAATTTTTTAATATTTATGTTTTTAGTTTTCGATGGACACAACATCTTTATTTTCTTATTTTTATGTGGTGCTGAGGATTGAACTCAGCACCCTGCGCATGCCAGGCAAGCACACTACCTCTTGAGCCACATCCCCAGACCAGACATAATTCTTAACTATCACTAAGACAACTGATCATTCTGAAAATGGGATTAACATTGCTAATTACCATGCATCCTTTCAACCATTAGCTGAGAAATGTTGAAGTCTAATCATTATTCTGAAATAGGAAGGTCAAACCTAGCTCTTACTAACCAAAGAAGATACTATTGATTAGTGACAAAACATTTTGCTAGGTACAGGCAGCCTCCACCAATTGATTAGAGTTTGCAGTGCAAAAAGAAATCTATTTTTCAACCATGGTCTGTGATCTAGAGTATAAAGCAGACTTTAAATACTTACTGTATAGTGGAGTTTTAAAACAGGATCTGGTTATTAGTCTGTTTGAATTTAGTGAGCATAGCTTCAAGGAACAAAAGCAAGAACAAAATCAGTGGAGAGATACCAGGCATTATGTTTGTGCAGAGCTCTTCATTTGTTGTTTTAAAGTATTAATAGCTGGGCCTTTTGCCAGGGAGCAGTATGCCCCCTTCATAAATCCAACTTCTAGGAAAATGGGTTCCCCAGAATGCTGGAGGCAGAGTCGTCTGAGATGAGTAATTTCACTTTCCTGCCCTCCTTGCCGATGCCAAGTATGGCTCAGGAACCCAAGAGCCTGGTTGTGGACAAATTCCCTAAATGGAAGACACATAGATGGTTGGTGTCAGTTCCTCCGGAAGCGTGCTATTAACTTCTGAGTATGGACATGCAGTAAGCATTAAGCTCTACATCCCTGGCGTGTCACTTGAGTTAGTGTCATCAGCAACTGTGAGTTCCCATTAGGGACTTGACACCGTGAAAAGCTACACTGAAATATGTTGCATCTGTTTTTGTCCTATGAGCATACCTTGTTTTTGATAAGATTTTTGTCTCCTTGCCTAACTTATTAGTCTGTGCACATTGTGTGTGTTTATGTGTTGATGAATTTAAGTTCTCTTCCTGGTGATCTATAACTCAACAGAGACTATTTATTTTCCTCAAAATTATTCTTAGCAGTAAACTTCTTTCATAAAGAATGGGATAGGAGGTTATAGCTCAGTGACAGAGCACTTGTCCAGCATGTGCAAGCTCTAGGTTTGTTCCCCAACATTAAGAAGAAGGAGGAGGAGGAGGAGGGGGAGGGGGAGAGGGAGGAGGGGGGGAAGAGAGAAGAGGTTAGGGAAAGTGCACATCATCATTATTTTTCAAAAGTAAAAACTTTCAGTAAAAACTTTCTGGCACTTTATGGCTCAGTGCTAGAGCGCTTGCCTAGCACGTGTGAGGCACTGGTTTCAATCCTCAGCACTCCATAATAAATAAATAAAATAAAGTTATTATGTCCATCTACAACTGAAAAAAAATTTTTTTTAATTTTCCAGGTAGAAATATTTCTAAAGACAATTATCATAAATTCTAACTAAATAATTGGTTTTTTTACCTATATGTTTTCGTTGCCAATTCTTAATGGGTATTTTTCCCATCTTTATCTTGCAGTGGCTATAAAATGCAGTAAAAACAAATCCAGTCCCCAAGAAGCTGTACAAGTGCTTTCTTCAGTCCGACTCAATTTACGGGGCTTATTATCTAAAGCAAAGGTGAGAGTGACGTGAATTAATTAGAACTGTCAGATGGTAAAAAGTCATTAATCTTAGCTAACTGTTCTTAAGTCTTCCTTTACATCAAGGATAATTTTAGGCCACATTATATTTTAGATAACAGTCTCCAGGTGATTGGTTGTGTTGATGAGAATATTATTGGTCCCATGGCTAGATCTCCTGAATGTGAGGAACTTAGGAGTCTTTGAAATTAATGGTTATAATTAAACATTGCCCTTCTATTTATTATCACTTTTCCCAAGTATATGCTTCTAATACCACTTGTGATTTTTTTTAAATTTATATATGATAGCAGAATGCATTACAATCCTTATTACACATATAGAGCACAATTTTTCATATCTCTGGCTACCACTTATGAATTTAATGTGTATTTATTTCAGTGCATATTAGAAAAAGCATTACTGGCACATCAAACCTAAAATTTCATGAATATTATTGCTTATTTTTCATTTATAATAATAATGATAAAGTGTTTCCTTTTAAAAAGGTTGTTAGGTATGTAACAATTTGATTTAGATAAAACTATTGTTTATGCTAGAAGGATTTGATTAAAAAAAAACATTGTTATGGTAGATGGCTGTTTTGACAACTGAAATATGCCATTAGTTTACAAATTCTACCCTATGCACCAGGGCTGGGGTGGAGATGCCTAAGAATCACCCAGGGGGGATCATCTTTGGAAGATGATTCTTGGATTGTCTTTGAAAGATGATTCTTGGACTTTGTGACAGCTACAGATCAGGTTTGGGATGGAGCCTGGAAATCTATTAGATTTCCTAGGTGATTCTCATGTGCAGTCAGGCTTGGATCATACCTCTGGAAGCAAAATTTAAAGAAATATAACTTCTTATACAATTCAGTACTTTGTTTTCTAATCTTACCTTGCTTTCACCATTTAGTCTTGGGTTGCAAACCAATTTGATTTACTTGTGAGAGAAAGTCTGTGGCACATGGAAGCCATTTCTAGATATTTTTTAAAAATTTTGTAGAACATTTCCAGAGTTTGTCTTTGTTAATTGTTTGATTTTTTTAGATTAAGCTCTTATTTTTATTTATTATTTTTATTTATTTATTAATTATCAGTAGATAATTAATTCACTTTCCCATTCGTATTTAGCTGAGCTATATTTCCTTCCAGCTTTGCAAGAGTGCTCTGCAAGAGAGCTCTTGAAAAGCAAGAAAGCAAGCTTATTCTGTGACTTCCAGATCTGGAGCTGAGTTTCCTGCTTTTGATTAGATCACTGACCCATCCATAACTGTTTCTCTCTGAAGGATGTACTCCTTCAGTTCCCTTATCTCTCCGCAAAGCCTTTTTTTTTTAATCAGTTATTACTTTTACATAAATTTGTACCTGCTTGACTTAAATAGTGTTGTCTGTGAAGGTTGCAGGTACAATACAGCCTTCATATTGTTGTAAATTCCCACCCACTAAAAATGAGACCTCAGAACATCATCTGTGGCTGGCTGTGGTGGTGCATGCTGGTAATCCAAGCAACTGGGGAGGCTGTGACAGGAGGATTACAAGTTTGAGGCCAATCTCAGTAACTCATTGAGGCCATAAACAACTAAGTGAGACCCTGTCTCAAAAAAGGGATGTGAGTGGAACTGGGAATGTGGTAAGGCCCCTGGTTCAATCCCCAGCACCCCTCTACCAAAATTATCTGTTTAGATTTTCTTCTCATTAGATCCTGACCAGATCATCCAAAAAGTGACAAAAATTTTCTCCTAAACCTCCTTTGAAGCACCTTCTTGCGTATTATATAAATGGAAGTCTGATCGTGTGCCTAACTGATCATATTGCTAAACTGAATTACCTTAAAAACACCACTTTTTAAGAACACTTTAAAAAATGGAAGTGCAATAGGTTTGGTTTACACAAATATGTGGTCCTTTCTTCTCAGACCAAGGGCTTCATGGAAATAAACTCCTGGAACTTTTTTTGTCCTTTTAAACAAAGAATTGCTTTATTAATGCAAACAAACATAACCCGTAAAGCTCTAAGAAATTTAAATAGACTCATCTAACAAGTGACTCAGTTCATGCTCTCCCAGGGCAGAGTGACTCCTCTACCCTTAGCACTCTGTCATTGTACAGGGTTGCTGCCAAGAGTGGCGTGAGGCCTGTTGGTCGGCGGCCAGGGAGCCTGGATATGGAAACCCTGAAGGAAGAACAGATTTTACCTCTTACACTCAGCAAATTATTCATTCTTTCTAAGCTTCAGTTTCTCTCCACTTCCTCCTTATCTCATAGAGAAGTGATGCAGATTCATTATGATTTGCAAGCACTGTGATTCTTAGCTGAAAAATACACAAGATGAACTCAGATTATTTTCCTAACAGGTGTTTTCTCCAATGATCATGCTTTGGCAGTTCTTAGGTCATCCTGTTATGAAAAGCTCTACAGATCATCTAGTAGTCAAGTCTGATGAAAAAGATATATGGGCAAGCTAAATACATTATCCTTATTAAAACACAGAGAGAGCCAGGCGCAGTGGTGCATGCTTGTAATCTGAACAGCTTGGGAGGCCGAGACAGGAGGATCACAAGTTCAGAGCCAGTCTAAGCAAAAGCAAAGAACTAAGCAACTCAATGAGATCCTGTCTCTAAAAAAAATACAAAATAGGGCTGGAGATGTGGCTCAGTGGTCGAGTGCTCCTGAGTTCAATCCCTGGTACTAAAACAAAAACCAAAAGTAAACCACATAGACACACGAAGCACACACATACACACACAAACATATATATATACACACAATGGTCTGAAAATTCTAAAGCTGATTTTCTAGGGTGCCTGTATTGGCTCAGCAGGCAGTTCCTGGAGAAGCATTTCAGAGGGTTTTCAGCTATGGTAGCATTACTGAAATATGTTGCAATAAACCTTCCAAGAGAATTCTTTTTCCAGGAGGGGCACACATTTATTTTTATTTTATTTTGTTGGGCTTTTTTGCTTTTACCAAATTTTTATAATCTTTGTGATCTCTGATGCATACATGAAAACTAATTTTCAAATAAGTAGCAAAAGGCTATGATTTATATGAATTTGAATATAAAGTATTTGTTCTGCTTGCATACACAGAAAATTTTTATTTGAATGAATGATGTTTGTTCACTGAAAAGCCATTGAATTACTTTGAAATGAATCAACAGTACTTAAGGAAATTGAAGAGCAGAGTTTGTTTGAGTTTATAAGTTCAGGCATGTTATTTGGACTCACTGTTTAATTATTACAGCTTGTATATTTCCAGGATGGTAAACAAATGCTGTTATAGTATTTTAAGAAAGGAAAATTTTAATTCTATATTTGTAGTCATTTTATTTGAAAGAAATTTTCATTGTTTTGATGGTGATGCTTTGTTTTTTATGTTGCAGCAACTTTTTACAGATGTGACAAGAGGAGAAATTTCTGGGGATTTAGCAGATGAAGTAGCAGCTATGGATGCCTTGGTCACAGAGCTCCAAGACCTAAGCAACCAGTTTCGAAATCAGTATTGACTCTGTTGGAAGCATTCTGGAAAAGGTGCCTTCATCTTTTGGAGTTTCTCTTATATTGTATATATCTGAAACACTGAACTGATTTTTAAAATAAATTTCTGTTTTATGACTAACATTCTTGTTTTTGTGATATTCTTAAAAGTTTGCACGTTCTAAAGAACATAAAAAGATCCTTATTTCTTTAGGCCTTAATTATGGTTAATTTCATGATTTGTATTATTCTTGAGGTATTTCAGCACAAAAAGAAAATAGTTTCCTTTTTAGGATAGTGTTTAATTCTCTGTCAGCCTAACATGAATTGGATCATTCCTTGGAAAAACAGTCTGAACCGGAAAAAAAAAATATACTACAATTTGTGGAATCATTAGATTGGCTGCTTTATTGTCCAAGGGTGTTTTAAAAAAAAAAAAAAAAGTGGATTTGGTGATGGAAACATTTACACTTGAGATTTTATGTTTGTGTCAGAAAGATGCGGGCTTGGCAAAATTGGAAGTGTGAGCATGGTCTAACTTTTAAATCAAGAAAATGCAAGAGAAAAAAAAAATGACATACCAAATTACAATCCAGTCATGAGCCACTAGTAACCAGGCTGTTACCTCCTCCTCATGGTGTATATTGCCAGCCCTAAAGATTTTGTTTAATAAGGTTATTATGGGTGAAGACAGCTATAAATGGTGCCATATTACAAAAATGTCTAAGTAAAATGCTTTCTCAGTAATGTCTATGGGAACAAATATTGAAGGCAGCAGCTGAGGTTAATAATCTTAGTACAAGAGTCATAGCAAGGAATTCTTAGGTTCCTGGCTTGGCTTGCTGAATTTTGGGTCTTATGCATAAATCACTCAACCTTGTTTTTTTCCATGTTCTTATTTATAAGATGTGAACAATTTCTATTCCTAGCTGCTTTATTAGTTTCAACTGCCTTTGGAAATTTAACATTTTATAATCTGTAAATGTAAAGTCCTCTGAACATTAAAAAGTCTTTAAAAAATTCTCATCAGTGAATTTTGCTTATGAATGCTCACCCATTCTAAAGTGCTCTTTCCTTAACCACCTACTTCTTTTTTCTGTTATCATATGAGCCTTAAAAATAAAAGTTTATGTATGCCTCAAAGAATGTTCTGTTAAAGAAGATACCAGACTTGCGGGAAAGTCCAATAAAATGAGATAGCAGCAGAAATTAACATTTAGGGTCCGTTTAATCTTTCTGGAAGCCATTGAGGAAAAGGTGAGCAAATGAATGATGACTGGATGGATAAAGCAGGGTTTTAAAGTTAATTCTTTATCAGTAGTGAGCTGTGAACCCAAGTAGAAAATGGGTAAGACAGAACTGAAAAGGACAAGAATTTCAGGAATTAAGTCGAAGATTGAGGTAGAACTTCAAAGTTTTGGAAATTTTTAGTTCTATTCAGTGTCCTAGGGGTTCAGATTGAAAGACACCATGATTGGGGTAGTCAGAAACCATGTTACCAACAGGTTGTCTCCTTTCAATCCTGTTCTGCACTGCTATACTGGGTTGAAGTCTGCAGGAGCTGCCCTGCATCCTCTTAACAATGGGATGAGCTATTGATGTCTCCTTTTAAAGGCCATAGACCCCTGAGCGTGATACTGCACACCTGGGATGGCTGAGGCAGGAGGATTGCAAGTTTAAGGCCAGCCTGGGCAACTTAGCAAGACCCTACCTCAAAAGAAAAAGTAAAAGAGCTGGGATGTAACTCAGTGGTAAAGTGTCCCCTGGGTTCATTTCCTGGTACACTCCTCCCCCCCAAAAAAATTAAAGGACATAAATCTATTAGTTATGTTTAATAATCTTATTTAACTGTTTAAAATTGAAGAAAATGTGTGGGAAGGAAAAACTTGAAGTTTTCTACAAAAATCTCATCTCTACCATCTGTGAACACTGAACATTTAGCTGTTTGACTTCCTCATCTGTAAAATGGGTGTTGATAAATAGTATCTTCCATCAAGTTCTCAGTCTCAGTGATGAGACTGGGAGTTTTTTGTTTGTTTTTTTAGTACTAGGGATTAAACCCAGGAGCATTTTACCACTGAGCTGTATCCCTGTTCCATTTATTTATTTATTTATTCATTTATTTATAAATAAATGAATAAATAAATAAATAATTTGGGGTAGGGTCTCACAAAGTTGCCAAGGCTGACCTTGAACTAGTAAGCCTTCTGCCTCAGCTACCCAAATCACTGGGATTACAGGCATGTGCCCTGTATCCAATATGATGCATGCATGTTTACAAAGAGGTCTGTACCCTTTTCTATAGTGTCTTAGTGCTTTGTGTCTGTCTATTGTTGCTAAATACCTGTGTTTCCAAATGCCTTACCTTTTATAAGTTTCAAGTTTGTTTTTCTAGTGGTAATTTCATTTTCAAAATTATTCTTTTGCTTTGTCAATTAGAAAAGTAGGCTGTGATCCTCTAACTTTTTTATTGAGTTCTCACAGTTTTAATAATAATAATAGTAGTAGTAGCTGTAAGTTACTAATTTCTCATTATGTGCCAAGCACTATGTGTAGCATCATCTTCCACTCTCAAAAGAGTCCTGCTAACCCATAAATCAAATGTGTTTCTGTACATCAGTGATGAATCTACTGAAAGAGAAATTAGGAAAACTACCCCCCCCAAAAAAAAAAAAAAACAATTTGGGAATCAATCTAACAAAAGAAGTGAAAGACCCCTACAATGAAAACTACAGAACACTAAAGAAAGAAATTAAAGAAGACCTTAGAAAATGGAAAGATCTCCCATGCTCCTGGATAGGCAGAATTAATATTGTCAAAATACCAAAAGCATTATACAGATTTAATTCAATTTCTATTAAAATCCCAATGACATTCTTCATAGAACTAGATAAACAATCATGAAATTCATTTGGAAAAATAAGGCACCCAGAATAGCCAAAGCAATACTTAGCAAACAGAGTAAAGCAGGAGGCATCACAATACCAGACCTTAAACTATACTACAGAGCAGTAGTAACAAAAATGGCATTGTATTGGCACCAGAACTAGGTAGATCAGTGGTACAGAATAGAAGACACAGAAACAAACTCACATAAATACGATTATCTCATACTAGACGAAGACACTAAAAACATTCGTGGAGAAAAGATAGCCTATTCAACAAATAGTGCTGGGGAGAGGAATTCATATGTAATAAAATGAGATTAAACCCCTATCTCCTCACCCTGCAAGAAACTGAACTCAAAGTGGATCAAGACGACACTAGAACAGAGACCCTGCACCTAATAGAAAACGTAGGCCCAAATCTTCACTATGTTGGCTTGCTTAGGAGCTGACTTCCTTAAAAAGATTCCTAATGTGCAAGAAGTAATATCAAGAATCAATAAGTGGGATGGGATCAAACTAAAAAGCTGCTTCTCAGCAAAGGAAACAATAACATGAAGAGAAAGACTACAGAATGGGAGAAAATTTTTACCACATACACCTCAGAGCATTAATCTCCAGGATATACAAAGAACTCAAAAAACTTACACTAAAAAACAAAAACAACCCAGTCAATAAATGGGCTAAGGAACTGAACAGACTCTTCACAGAAGAAATACAATCGATCAATAAATATCTGAAAAAATGTTCAACATCTCTAGCAATTAGAGAAATGCAAATCAAAACTACTTAAGATTTCACTCCAGTCAGAATGACAATTATCAAGAATACGAGCAACAATACATGTTGGCAAAGATGTGGGGGAAAGGCATGCTCATACATCGCTGGTGGGAGTGCAAATTGGGGCAGCCACTTTGGAAAGCAGTATGGAGATTCCTAAGAAAACTTGGAATGGAACCACCATTTGACACAGTTATCTCTCTCCTTAGTTTATACCCAGAGGATTTAAAATCAGCATACTATAGTGACAGGGCCACATCACTGTTCATAGTAGCTCAATTTACAATAGCTAAGCTATGGAACCAACCTAGATGCCCTTCAACAGATGAATGGAGAGAGAAACTGTAGTACATATACATAGTGGAACATTACTCAGCCTTAAAGAAGAGTGAAATGAAGGCATTTGCTGGTAAATGGATGGAGCTGGAGAATATCATGCTAAGCAAAAAAAGCCAAAAACCAAAGGCTGAATGTTTTCTCTGATGTGGATGCTAATTCACAATAAGGGGGTTGGCTAGGGGAGAATAGAGTTACTTTGGGTTAAGCAGAAGGGAGGGAAGGGGGAATCAGGGCAGGAAAGATAGTAGAATGAACTGGACATTATTACCTTTATGTGCATATATGACTACACAACCAGTGTGATACTACATCATATATAACCAGAAGAAGTTATACTCCAGTTATGTATGATGTGTCAAAAGTGCATTCTAGGGGCTGGAGTTGTGGCTCAGCAGTGGAGCACTCACCTAGCATATGCGAGGCCCTGGGTTCGATCCTCAGCACCACATAAAAATAAATAAATAAAGATATTGGGTCCAACTAAAAAACAAATAATAATAAAAAGTGGGGACTGGGGTTGTGGCTCAGTGGTAGAGCAGTTGCTTAGCTTGTGTGAGGCACTAGGTTCAATTCTCAGCACCACATATAAAAAATAAATAAATAAAAGTCCATCAATAACTAATAAAAGTATTTTTTTTAAAAAGTGCATTTTAGTAGTCAGGTGTAACTAATGAGAACAACAACGAAAGAGTCCTGATAGGTTGGTTTTTGATAACACTAGGAAACTAAGGGTCATAAACTGTAGAAAGAGAAATAAGCAAGATCCAAAGACTTCTAAAGTCTGCATTTTTTTCCTCCTTGCTATGTTAAAGCTTCCAATAGTCTTTTCTTTCTAACCATGGGATACCTGGGCACTGTGCCTGTTCTCATTCATAAAGTTCTCCGGGAGAAATTTTGTGAGGTCTCAGTTGAGAATAGTCTGTGATTTATTATGATTATTTACTCTTTTTAAAAAATTATTTTTAATAAATTCCTTGTCAGCATTTTTCCAAAGAAGTAACATAGTAAATGGGTCCTTAAGTGCAGAGGAATGAAAATAAACTCCAATGGAATAAAGAGATCCCTTCTCAACACCCAAAACCAAACCACAGGAAGCTTGGAGAACTGGGGCCAAGTCTGGGAAGCAGAGCAGCGGTGTGTGTTGAGGGGTGGGGAGGAAACGGTGGGGCTCAACTACAGAACCTGAAATGGACTGTGGGACCCCCATTCAGGGGTGGTGAGCTTGGCCGTAGCTCAAGTGAAGCCTCAGTCTGGTAATGAGGACCCAAACATTGAAAGCGTTGGCTCCTTTAATTGTGCATTGAGACTATTCTTCCCATGCTATATACCCATTTCTTTCAGACATGCTATTGGTGTGCCATTCATAGGTAGAAATGGAAAACAGAATTGATAACAAGTATTTGTAGTAAATCCACTTACCTTCCAGATTTCAAAGATATGACATAAAGGTCTGGCTAACTGGCACTGTTTGGGACCATTTATCTAAG